GTGATGGAACAGCTCACCCTGGAAAGCATTTCCAGGCATGTGAAGGGCAAGAAAGTTAAGTCATCAGGAGTAGTCAGCATGGGTTCACTAAGGGGAAGTCACGCTCGACCAACGTGGTAAGCTGCTAGGATGAAGTGGCTGGTCTGGTGGAGGAGACCAGACTGCCCAACTTGACTCTCGTGCGCCGGACAAAAACTACCCTGCCTGAGTACGTTTCGGGGAAGGTACCTTGAAGCCTTCTGTATAGATTGCTCCCAGAATTGGGAAGGTGAGGAAAAGACAGCATTGCATTTAGAGCTTGGACAAATAATTCTTGAAGTTAATGCTGCAGCTCATGCTTTTTTAGAAGTTAGTAGTCTTTTTGCTTGTTTGTGTGCTTCCTTATGTATACTTGTATTTTTTTTTTTTTGGATATGGCTGAATACTTTAATGTGCCAGTTTACAGCTTAAATAATCTTCAGTTCTCTGCATGAAATGGAGTGCCTTTGGCAGTCAGCTTAGGTATTTAGCTTTCTATAACAGTTACAGTTCAGTGTCTTAAAGAGAATAACATACTTACATATAAGCTGTTTCATGGAAACTGCTCTTCAGTGTTTTTTTTTTTAAATAAGCATGCTTATTTTTGTACAAGCTGCTGTAATTTTATACAATGATAAATTGTTACCTAATTTTAGGCAGGGGAGATGCTGTGTAACAGGGTCTCTGTATACGTTCTGCTAGCTGTTCTAATTTTGAAAGGCTCATCTAAGAACCAAGCCTGTCCCCTCCCAGAAATTCTTCCAGTTCATTTGTGCTGTACTGTTAACGAGCAGATTACTGGCTGTAATCTCAGATCTCCCCCGTGGGTACCACGGACTGAGGAGACTCCTCTCAGCTCATTTTTCCCACTCTAGCAAGGCACATTCATGTCACCCTTTTCCCTTGATATTCGACCTTTCTGGGCAGGAGTAGGGTGCCTTGGTGCTCAGAACCCGGAGACCTGAATTTGAAGAGAAAACATGACAATGTTCATCCCAAAAGATCTTTGTGCAGACCATACCTGTCCTGTAACATCGTGGTTTGGCTTTACTGCAGTGTAAGAGGCTGGGATGTGGCAAGCCAGACAATTTGGGACCGCATTTCAGCAGTGGGAGCTGGCTCTGCAGAATCTGTGTCACTTCCTCCTGCTTGCTAGCTGCTCTAGTCCAAGATACGTGGTTGCCAGAGGCAACCCCGGCATTAATCTCGTGGTGGCTGCACAGGAGGATTGCTGGAAGAGAGATGCAGCGCATTTGTGTTTTTTGGAGCTCTAGAGTTTCTCCGATGTGATGAGGCAGGTGGCTGTCCTTCCTTCCTAAGGCTGCCGTAAGTCAAAAAGACAGGAGAGATCTTGGCGTGGGTCGTCACTGTGCCTTTCAAAACAGTGGGAATTATCTGGCACTTCCACGGCTTTTCTTCTAGAAAGATGCTGGAGTTGGTGTCTTGACTCAGTGCTGCTAAACAGATTTATAAACTCCCAGTCCCCTTTAAAACAGCTCTGCCTCCCGGGAGTTGTTAGATTGGAATCACAGGTTTAAAAAGCAATGATCTCTTGTCGATGTACATCACCGTTACATCGATATAGGTACATCACAGTTAATTCAGTGTACCTTGAGGATTTTAATGGTTAAATTACCATCCAGCTTCTGGAAACCCTCATTGCAGATCCAAAAGTCCATGGCCTTCAGTTGTACAAATCTAAGATTAAAAAAAGATAGTTTCCAATGGAAATTGGGCAAAATACAGTAGATGAGTACTCACAAGGTGTTTTTGTGTGCTGGGGGCAGTTATGTGAGTTTGTTACAGGTTTAAGTGCTTAAATAAAACCAACCCAGGTTTAGACTGGGTGTCACAAGTGGCGAGTGAGATACTTTTTTGTGTGTAATAATATGGTAATGTACCGGTGTTTCCTGAGATGAAGTTGGCATGCTCTTGTCCATCTCAGTGCACGCCCAAAATGTCTGTACCTACCTCCTATCTTAGCCTCTGTGTTCTTTTCTACAGGTTCTTCAGATGTAGTCTGTGTGGTATGGCCCAGTGTTTCTCACTCCTGTTTTTTTCTTGCCCCACTCTTCTAGTTTTTCTCAAAGAAATCTGATAATTTAAGATTTTGTGCTCAGGCTGTAGGTGCCAGCTAGACTTTTATTTCCCCACTCTTTCAAGGGTAGGGTCACATATGTCTGTGTGAATGGAAACTCCAGAATCCCTTTCTGCTCTTGCATGCTTTTTTTTTTTTTTTTTTTGAAGGATATGTCATTCTAATTTAGAACATGCTTCTCCTCACAATGCTAGTCATTTTCTTTTCTTCCCTGATTTCCTGTCCTTGTGTCAGAAAAGTCTATGCCTGCCTACCCATGCTCAAGATCAGTGCTGTCACTGAACTACCAGAACAGCTGGGCACTGCCAGACCAGTGCCATTCAGTCTTATTTTCCTTTTGTTGTCCCTCTGTACACCAGTTTGTTGGGAGCTATTTATTAATTCTGATGGTTGTGAGTCTGGAGAGGTCTTGTACAGCTTGTCACCTTTCAAGCTTTTGGAAAGCAGGTGAAAGGTAAGGCTGGCAAAAGGGTGCCCAAGGCTTTGAGAAAAGATTTCAGTCCACTCTGGAAGAAGTGTCTGATGCTGAAAAATGTTCCTGAGATCAAGGCTGCTCTTTGGGAAGTGCTGGGGAAATGCAGAGGAGGTCATTACATGTATGTACCTGGAGAACAAAAGCAGGCTTTTTTTCATCTGTGGTGTTAGAACTGCCAGGAAGTATTAGAATAATCCTAACAATGCTTTGACTCCTATCTTGCCTTTATTATGCAGGCTCTGAGAAGGAAGGCGTGAGGGGGCCTTTCATGTCTTGGAACATCTTTTATTTTTTATAAGTTTAAACAAGTTGATCTCGAGTTCCTAAATTCTCTGTTTCTGTGTCTCGAGATAAGCTATTTGAGTAGTAGACCTCCTCCACTTGGTGACTGTGTCTTTCAAAATGAGCCTCTGAACTGAGCCTTTTTTTCTTAGACCTGATTTTTTCTTGTAGCAGTGGTTGAGAAGATTGCACAGCAGAGCACCTCAGGTTGTCTAGAGTTGCAATTATAGACAAAAAACAAAAGGGAAAAAAAAAGACAAAGCCAAATTCAAGGTTTCCTATGCTGCTGGGCACTGCAAAGGCACTGCCTAGGTGGCTGTAAGTAAAATATTGAGAATTAAGTTCTTAAAAATGTTAGTATGGCTCAAAAAATAAATGCTCAGTCTTTTTTCTGAGTGTATCAGCAGCCTCAGACTTAGAGGGTTATTCAGATACCTGATTTTAGTTCGGCTTGTGGTGTGGGTTATGGGAGTTATTTTTAGGTTGAACTCTCTAAGTAAATGCAACCGGATCCTGCAAGAGCCGACAAGGGACAAGTGGCAGGAAACTTTGAAGTAGTTTTGTAAATCTTCCTCATGGGACCCGTGCCAAGTTTCAGTGGATTAAAAGGCTGATTACCTTCCTCTACTGTATAAAGCCAGATTAGAAATGACATTTTCAGACGAGTAGTACCAGTTCCTATTTTCTCACCAATGAAGTCTTGTCGAATTTAAACTGGCTCACACGTGTCTTCACCTCCACCTGACTGTTCTTGTTCTCAGTAATCCCAGTTTGTCCTCTGTCGATTTGTATTTCATTGTTTCAAGTCAAGGCTGTGTTCAGCACTCTCTCAACATCAAGGATTCGGGCTGAAAGAGGGTTACAGAAATCAAGACATTGCTCAGATAGTGAGCCCTCTAGTGTAATAACATGCTAGTGATAGCGCCGTTGGCTTCAGAGGAGTCCTGGAGACATTATTCCACAGAGGTCCCAGAAGAGAACTGACTTTCTGACTTCCTTTATCTTATGTTGGTGGATTCCTACCTTCCTGCTCAGGTCGTGTATGTTTTTAACCCTGTATAATCTAAAGTTTGCTCTCTTTCTTTTTTAAATGGAAAAGTAGTTGTTGCTATTCCAATAATGGTGGAAAGCATTTTGTAGGAATTTGATTTGTAATGTCTAAAGAAAAATAGGCTTCTTTAAAATTCATGTACACATGAAGTATTATTGAATTAACTTCATGTTCATATGCAGTTCCATTTTCTAAGTTCATTCTTACAGTGCCTGTGCATTCTGGCTTTCAGATGACATAAAGGAGATTAACATAGCTGAGAACACTGTGAACCTTTTTTGCTGTTACCGTATGATATCACTTGGAGGTGATCTCTTCTGGAAGAAGAGCTTTTACAGCTTGACATTGAAATTAAGCCTCTGTCGTCCAATCCAGCCTTAGAGTCAGTTTCTATCTTGATGGTTTAATATAGGCATGGTTTAGAGAATATACTGCATTAGATTGGTGAATATGGCAACTGAAGTTTCTTTTTGGTGGACGAGTTGGAATATATGCATAAACAGAGTATCATCTTCCCTGCCTGTTTTGGATTTAACAGATGAGGGTGATGTTTCTGTCAAGGCTGTAGGACCTCAAAGCCCAACATAAGTTGAAATCTCGAGCAGTTCGTATATTTCATTATCGCAGTGTTTCCTTTCTGTAATAAACACTTGAAAGAATTCCAAAGTACATATTGCTTCTATTCCTAGAGAAAAATCCAGCAAGATTTACTTGCACATATGATCATTACCCACTGGTTACGTGCAGTGTTAGGAAAGCTTTGGTAAAATTAGCATAATGACGTCTGTGTGTAAGTCGTAAAAATGCCTCTCTCTTTATATGTATATATGAACTCCTTGCACCAGCAGCTTGAATATGTCTTAGTACTTACTCATTCATTGCGTTAATGTATATTGTTATAACTAAGATGATGGAATATGTTTTGCACGTAACGGTATATGTGCTTAACAGATGTATGATTTAACCTGCCTGTTGCCATTAAATTATATTTTAAGAGTAATTTGTACTGTATAAACAGGCTTGTCTTCCACAGATACATGAATATTTACAACAAAAATGACTTTTTTTTTTTCCAGGTCCCTTTACAGACGTAGTAACTACAAATCTTAAGCTACGAAATCCATCAGATAGAAAAGTATGCTTCAAAGTGAAGACCACAGCGCCTCGTCGATACTGTGTGAGGCCAAACAGTGGAATTATTGACCCAGGATCATCTGTAATTGTTTCAGGTAAAAGCAGATATGCATCGTTGTAGGTTATATGTTTTAAAGCATGAAAAACCTCTGTACAAAAATATTTGTTTGTCGTTTATCATGTTTACCTGCAGCTATTGCTGTGTTAAAGAGGAAGGAAAGCGGGAAATGGGCAGTGACATTAACAGTACCTTCAGACAACTGTATTCCTGTTCCCATTGTGAAGTGGGACGTTGCTTGGCTGCTCTGATGTGTTTAAAGTTCAACATTTGACAGTTCAATGCGTTTAAAAAAAATAAATCCATCCACAATTGTGGAATAGTTGTTTGGAATAGGACAGGTCCCTATTGTCTGAACTCTATTGTGTCATAACTTGTCATAATAGAAGAGTTACGAGTGTGTTAAGTAATACATGCTAAGTGATAATCTGTCAGTTCTTTTAAGGAAATTTTCTGTTATATTAGATGGAGCTTTTGTAGCCTTTAGGTTTGACAAATCTATCACGTTTCACTCTAGAGACACTTCTTAATCTGTTTTTGGGATGTGGATTAAAAAAGGATCTTTAATGCTCAGCAGTGTGAGCCTTGAAGCCACACAATATTTCCACCCCCCGTGAAACTCCGTCTAGGTTTGGCTTACATACTTCATTATGACAATTAACAGAATTTTGAGAGCTGGATATATAATAATCTAATCCTATACTGGACAGTACTGTGTCAAAAAGACCAGGTGTCAGGAATGATGGGAGTAGACATTCTCAAGAAAGTGGGAAAAGAGTAGGTATTGGTCTTCTGACTTGATAAATTATTTTTGTAGGTTGTTCTCCCAATCTTCTTGAGTTAAGAATCATCTGAATAAGGAAATTCTCAAACCTATGACTGTAAGAGGAGAGAAACTCTTACTTTTCTGTGGAACCATCATATTTCCCAACATGGATGTAGTCTCATAGGTTGTAGAGATCAAGGGTGACACAGTCATAAGCTTCTAGATCTCCTAAGTCTAGAAAGCTGACGATTCTTGTAGTACCCCTGAAAAGCTATAGCAAAGCAAAGGGAAACAAGGAGCAATCTTCAGAGCTTTTCATATTCATACCCTTAAGCCCTCTGGGAAGTTTAAAAGAATTTGAGGAACTAGCTTTAGGTGATATGTTCAAAAGCTGCAAGAAATAACTCAGGAAAACTTCAAAGTTGATGGATTAAAACCTCAGAGTAACTTTCCTTTTAGGAGAGACACCAGTTTTCTAATCTGATATGATCTGTAGAATGTGACCTTTTAAAACTTCAGTATTGCTTGCCAGGGACAGTTCAGAGTCTTGTGGACAAAAGATCATTTTATTGAGATAATTGTTTAGAGATTCTTATAGTCAAAAGCTTAGCTTATTTTCCTTTTCAACATTGACTCACAGACATTTGTGTTAACTATGTATCAGAGTATCAAAGCTGGGTGATTTTCCACTTTGCATCCACAGTGGCTCTTTGTTGCTGCTTTTTCTGTATTAATGGAATCTCATGCGGATTTTCAGCTACAGTGACTCCAAGATGTAGATGTGTCATTACAGATGCTTTTCAGAATTTAAGTTTTCTTCCCCAAATTGTTGTTTTTGGGCATATAATTTCTTTTGAATTACTTTGTAAGCCAAGTACGCAGATACTTTTTCTATTGACCCACTTTGTTATCTCTTGTATCTCTCTACTGAATGTTTTCAGTGCTGACTCATTGTTCATATCATTAAAAATAGATTTCTCTCACATTGTTGTGCAGAGGGAAATCAATGTAGGATACCATGGCTGAAGCTCTGTTCAGCACTAAATGTTGACAATGTTAGCTGCCTCTAGTCCAGATAATGCATCAGATAATTCAGGGTCAAGGGAGTTTTAAAGTACATTATTGGAGATGTGATTTAATAGACATTTTAAGGAGGTCCACGGACATTTTTGTATCATCCTATTGTGAAACAGAAGGTACTATTTTTTAACCACGTTTATATATTTTTTCTGAAAATACGGATTTGATAGGACCTCTTTTTTACTGTTGATTTGGATGTCTTTCCCTTCACCTTGATGACCTAAATTAACTATTTATTTTTGTGTCATCTATATTAATTGCTTGCTGGTGATTTTTCTTTCCAGACTATAGAATGTTATTTTTCTTTCTTTGCAACTGTTAGTGTTACGTGTTACTATTCTTCCTTCTGAGTTTCAGACCCATTTAAGATCGGTTTTGTGGAGATAAAGCCCTTCTGTGTAGAAAACTTAGGCTTACTAACAAGAGTCTTGCTTTCGTAACTGTTTGCAATACTCTTAGAATTGATAATGTCGACAGCTCGTGGGCTCTGAGAATATGCTGAAAACAGTGGCTTCATATATTCATGGAGTTTGCCATGATTACTTAAAGCCTAACATAGCTTGAATGTCTCTTTGAATTCATTGATCTTTTTCTCTGCTGCTTTTCAATTCAATCAAATTTTCAGCTGTTACCTAGTAGTCAAAGAACACCAAGTTATTTAACTAGTTACCCAAGGATTCTGCCAGCACAGGAGGAAGTTCTCAGATGATGGAAAGCTGGTTCTGCTGTCTTTCAAGCTATTCCATCTGTTCCCTTGGCGTAGGGAAACTAAAGTACTGCATTCTTTCTGTGGTCTGCTGGTGGAACAATTCTTAGAGATAAATTGCTGTAGCTCCATGTTTGGAAGAAGCCTTTAGTTAGATCATTTATATTCTGGACCTAAGTGAGGCCAACGATTAAAGAAACCTGACTTCAAAGCCTTTGCAAGTAGGATCGTTTGAAAGCATGTCAAATATTGCAGTTCCTATACGGGCTTTATTTGTGGAATGTATCTGATTCAGATTGCTAGATAGAATGCTAGATTATTTAATTATCATTTGATTATACCCTATGCAGCATTAAAGGAGGAAAAACATTGGATAACTATTCTGCAGCAAACATCTGCAACATGTAACTAATACATAAGCTCTAAAATTAGGTTGCAGTATAATTAAATTTAGTAGTAACTTTTTCATAAGTACCGATGAATTTGGAGAGGCCAAGTTAATCATTTTGATACTGTACTTACCAGTTTATAAACTAATGCAGTTCAGTTCTATTGTGAAGAACTTGCACTGTGTGAAAGCGGGGATGTTGAGCTATACATCCAGTAAAGATTCAGAATTGAGGAAAATAAAACTGAATTGTTGGACATAGTAAAAATATTGAAGTCTACACACGGAACTTTTTTAGAATTACATGGGAAACTCATTCAGAGCGTACAGTGTGTTTTCCTAGGTAAATAAATATTTCTGCTTTAGTTTCTTCATTGCTGTAAAATAGGTGACTATACGGATTCCTGGTGATAGGACTCCATAAATGTAATTCACATTTTTAATCTTTATCTGGAATTACTTAAGTTTCTCTTTTCTTTTTATATAACGATGCTCTAAAGTGGAATCCACTTCCTGTGGGAGACAAGTCAAATAATTTATCTCTACAGTTTACTCTGAGTCCTTGTTCTCTGGTAGAGTTGCAAGTGTGTACACGTGTGTATTCGTGTATATAACTTCTGTTATCCGGGACTCCCAGCAGGAGTGAGTCAACTAATTGTCTCCAGGATGAAATGTGAGCAAGGAGGCTAAAGTGACCGTTTATTTTACGGTCTATTCCATGGAAGTAGGATGGAGGTAGACTCTGCTGGTTATGTATCCTTCTGTCTATTTCAGTTAGTCCTCCAGCACTACTATTATCAACCCTTGTGTATTCAGGTATTTCTGCAAATCCTTATACTATACCCCTGCTTTACTCTCCTGGACGGTATTATAGACGTTCTCTTTTCAGTCACTTCGAACTAAAGAAATCACACACAAAATAATGATACTAGGATGAGCTGACAACCAGTCTGGGCTGTTTTTTAAACAGCAACAACAACAAACACCTCAACCTCCTGATGGCTTTATACAGTTTGGATGGATGAAGGTGCTGTGCTTCTGTAATTGAAGTGTTCTTTTAAAAATATTGTAGTGTTGTAGTAATAATGGAGATAATGGGAACTGTTACTGATGTAATTCATTTTTCCAATTTATGTACACTTCAAAATAATAACTTTGAAAACATGAGTTCAACTTGACCAGTTGAATTATCAAATTTGGAAAGCTGTAAAAAGCTGTAAAAATTTGGAGTGCAGTAAAAAGACTTCTCATTCAGAAACTGTCTTGTCACAAAAGTACCCTCTACTGCTTGCATATTCTAGTTCTGGTACCTGTAGCACAAACTATGTTGTGTCAGAAGCATTTGGTTTCATTCAGGAAGATTTTTAAAATCTGCATTAGAGTATGTTGAAGGCTGACAATGCGGGGATAAAACACATCAGATAAAATACAAAGAGGGTATTATGTATTTAATTTTAATATGTCACTTAAAACTGCCTTTACATCAAACATGATTTTGAATCCCATCCCTCTTTGTCCACTCATAAAATGCAGTGGAGGACCAAAACTTGCTGTAGAATTCAAATCCATAGTTGGATTTTGGAGTGCTTTTGGGCAAACATTAGCTGTTAGGCTGGACTTAAGTTTAACAATGTCAAAACCTGAATGAAATGTGTTACGTAGTTATTCCGTAAGTAATCACTATAAATCTTACAAGAGCTGAATTTGAAAGTGTTCTAATGATGCATTATTAAAGCCCTAGGCAGCTTTACCTCCTGTAGTAATTGTGGTTTGAGTTAAGTATTTTAGTAGTCTTGCTCCCAGCTTAGATTAATACAATTTAGTCAGTTGAGCTTGCCCTACTGGTGGTCTGTCTAATGTAAGGTTTTTTTTCTTTCCCCTGAGTAAATGTCATAATGTATACCATCGTTCTTCTATGTTTGCATTTACTTAATCACAAAATTTATCTATTCCACAGAAAAGTCAGGATATGTTTGTTCTCACTTGTATATTAAATGTCTTCTAGTTATAGTAATTGCAGAAATAATCTTTTAAGCTATGCTAGACTCTGAAAAACTTAAGGTTTTTAATGGTTGTACACTGTAGCAAGTAATGAAAGGAAACATCTTACATCTGCCCTATTTTCAACACTGCCTTCATGTTTTAACTTTCAGTGTCTGTTCACTGAGAAGCGAACCGAAAGCATATGGCATGTTTATTACAGTGATTAGCTGGAGGATCACGGATTTCTTTTTTATTCTTTTGTATAGTAATGCTGCAACCTTTTGACTATGACCCAAATGAGAAGAGTAAACACAAGTTTATGGTACAAACGATCTACGCACCATCAAATATTTCAGATATGGAGGCAGTGGTAAGTAAAACAGGGGTAGAATAACTGTTGCAGTTTGTATTTGCTTATTAATTTAAAAAGTCTTCAGTCTTAAGTGAATCATGTTTTTTAAATTATTTTTTGGAGAAATGTCTTCCGTAAGTAATTCTGGGTTTTTAATATTAAATACAAGCTAAGTTCTTGGAACCTGTCTAGTGGACTGATTGAATAGAAGTAGTACTATATCAAAGCTAAAGTCACTTCAGTGCTAAAGCATGGTCGTGTTGTATGTGATAAGCAGTTTATTGGAACTGAAGAAACAGGTTTTATATGAGGGAGTCCAGTATATGGAAGCAGCAAGCCTGAAGTTGTATGAAATAGACCCATTAGGTCTAAAAAGTTGAATAGTATTCTAAGGAATTGAAACATTTGCAAGACTACACTGTCTCTCTATGAGATACCAAGTGGCTAAACACAGCACAAATGATAGATTTTATTTTTTAATAGAACAGGCTGTAGGTTCAATTCTTGAGTTGGACTGGTCTGACAAAAGATCCAGGAAGAAGAGAATTAGGTTTGTGCATTTTAGTTCAGAAGTAAGGACACCTTTCTCTGACATTACAAGCAATTGGAAGAGAAGTCTTCAGTCAGCACCTGCCCTTCAGGGTATACATGGGTTCCCATTAGCATTTTTATTAGGGTCCAGGGGCATGATGCAGGGCTTCTGTCTCTAGAAACTGTTCTAAGGACGCCCGAGTTCATATGGTTAATCACGTGGTTCAGTGTTCACTCAAGGTAGAGGAGGACAAACAAAACTTTTTATCCATATTTTATAAATTACTGAAATTCACTAGACCTCTGATGGCTTAGGCTCTCTTCCCTTACATGTGAAGGCAAAGATTATTATGGCATCTCTTTCCACTGGAAACAGTGGAAAAATTTTTAAGCTTTTGAGATGTGTAGCTACAAAGATAACATTTCTCTTGTTGGTCTGGTTTACTTTTTCTTAATATGTGCTGGTAGCTCTTGGTTATGTGTGGTAAGTGAAGCGTAACTATTTGGGGAGGATATAAAAATCCACTTTAGAAATACCTTGAAAATAACAGCTTTCTTGGTTGTTAAAAGTATAGAATACTGAGAAACAAATCTTGCAGAAAATCAGTAATTGTAGTTACAAGTTACTGCACAATTATAGCCACTGGAGGAAAAAAAATAAAAAGGAATTTACTCTGGAGTTAAGTATAGAATCAATAAATGTGTCTTTCATTCTTTTGTTTAAAATTGATGCTTCTGAAATAGGACATGAGAACATTTACCAAGCAGCGGTATGGCTTTGTTCTTAGGCCAACTCAGGTGGTACTTTTGTTCCTGATTGTGTTAAGGAAACCACTCTGCTGTCCCACCTGTTGTGCCCTACAAACTTCTGGATCCATCCTGGCGTTCAGTTCACTTGATTCCGTTTCCAGACTTAAGTTAAACCATCTCTGCCTCTCGTTACTTCGAGAGTAATCTAAAGTGGACAGAACTGTTGTTCAAAAGCAAGTCTGAAAATTGCAGCTAGGACAAGAACAGCATTCAGCTTTGTAGAAGCTATAGGGAAGTTCTAAGAACAAGGTTTTGAACTATTCATATCTTTGCACGACTGGCTCGTTAAGTAACTATATTAATTGTTTTAGTGGAAAGAAGCAAAGCCCGATGAGCTAATGGACTCCAAATTGAGATGTGTGTTTGAAATGCCCAACGAAAATGATAAACTGGTAAGTAAGAAAAGAGTAAGAAACTGTCATACACTGACTTATGATCTTACAGAAATTTGTTTTCAACTTTTTAGAATGTTTGATTTGATGGTTAAGTGGATCTTTAGAGTTTAAACCTGGTTAAATGGATGGGAGAGGTGTTTGGTATATAACTCTTCAGGCACATGTTTTCACTGGGCCCTGATATTCACGTGAAAACATTGTTTGATGGCTGCCTCTTGTAGCCATTCATATGTGCTATGCTATCGGTTCATGCAGCTGAGCTCCCTACTTCTAGTACATGGCAAAGGTACATGCTTAGAATTTGTACCTCTAGGTTTGCCTTTCCTGTCTTTCTGCCTTTTATGGAAACTAGTTTTAGGTACAGGTTATCTAGAAGGCTGAAGTAAGGTGAGGTAAGTCTTAACTCTGGTGTCTGAGAATCAGCTGAGATGAATCTTCAAGTAGAAGGCAGATTTAAGCATTTGACAAAATTATTTTTAATACAGTTTTTATTTACTGCTTCTACTACTAGTTTGGCAATTATGGAGAGAAACAACTCCAAATTACACTGTTGTCGATATGCATAATGATGTATGGGGTGATTTATATTTTATTTCAGTATGAATGCTGATGTGCAGTATGCATGGCTTCTGTGTTGCAGCACAAACAAGTCAGCGTTGTCCTTTACCTTATAATTGCCATGCTAGCTTCATTTCAAATAGTTTGAACTATTGCCAAAAAATATTGTCCTTTCATTATTCATATTACTGATTTGCTTTAGCATTATAATGCTGTCAGATAAAAGCAGAGTCTTCAGTACCACATACAGGGAAAAGCAAATTGGATCATTTGCTTTTTAAAGTATGAAGTGCTTTTCAGTTTTAAAAATTCTCTTTCTAATTCAGCTGAATGAGAAAAGGAAGTACTGATTGGAAATTAATACATGCGCTGGGAATCCTAAATGCATCTTTTAAGGTAGTGGTACAGACAGGTAATCAGACCAAAAAATTAAAAAATCCCATTAGCTCTTTCATGCTTCTGACTTCAAACAAAATCAATTCCATTTGTGTAGGAGATGACAATTTCATTGTATATGGACTGAAGATGTCTGTTTTTATGTTGCCTGGTGTTTGGAATAATAGCTAACTGTCTGTTGTCCTGAAGCTTTGTGGAATATGGCTGAAATTCTTACACGTTACACATTTTACCCTCATTCTTCTGATTATTGAATCTTAATACTGTACATTCTTCTTTATTTACCTTTTATTTTTTTGGTGCTACTTTTAGCATTGTGAATTAGAGTGCTAATGCAGGATTTCTATAAACAACCTTATTCACTTTGTGGCTTTGGCTTTTTTAACTGTGCAGTCTGTAAGGTGTGTTGGGTGGAAGCAGCATGAATCCATGCATGTAAAATCTCATAATTTGTATGCATAAAGGATCTTCATGAAGTCTGCTGGCTGGCTAATAGTTGTATTTGCAACCATTCTTCTAATACAGTTTTTGGAGTGTAATGTGAGGGTAATACGGTCAGTATAATGGTCTTTTTTTTTTTTTTTGGTAAAGATTAATTTGAGATGCAGGCTTTTATTCAGCTGCCTGTGTATGTGAAATGCTAAAACTGTAAATTTTAAGCATTAATTATCAAGGTACTTAGCTGGCTACCTTCCGTGTTTCTTACCCTCTTACTAAATTACATTCTAGATATAAGAAAATCACACTTGCTTTTAGTTTTACAGTAAAATGTGAGAGAAATGTAATGCTTTCTTACAGAACTAACTCCTTTTATATTTTCTTTAATACCTTTATAGTGTTGACTGTACCTAATCTTTATATTTTTCTGAGTAGCAGCATGGGGTTGCAAAACCTAATGCTTTACGAGTTGATTTAGTCACTCACTTAAGCCTTGCAATGAGAAATGTGCCAAGACCTGAGGGCAAGGCTCACATACCACCTCAGGATGCAAGTACTTCAGTCAGCAACCTCTTTCTTCAGATGCCTACAAGTCATAGCCAGAAGATAGACATGAAGGAACCAGTCACTGAGGTCAGGCAGCAAAGGAGGTTTGCTCCAGGGAGATAAGTCTTAGGTCTCTATTGATGTTTCAGTACTACTAAAGGAGTTCAGTTTAGCTAGTGAGCCAGAGAAAAAAGCGATACATCTTTCTCTGTTTACTCGTGATACAAGTATGCTGGTCTTTCTAAATCTAGTTAGGATTACCTGTGTAGAATAGCAGGATTTGGCATTTTGCATTGCAAAAGGTGTAAAATGAAAGTAGATGCTGTAGCCCGAATAATTGCTGTTTGTATAGGAACTAAAGAGAATCTTGGAAATCAGATTTTTTTTAAGTTGTTTTGTTTGTACATAGATACGTTACTTTTTACTAGGTTTTCTGTTATATTCAGAGTGGGCTGCTTCACATGCAGTGCAGTGGTGGTCTAAGTGACATAGCTGTATAGCCAATCAAGTAAAAATAGAGAAGCTTGAATGTACTGCCATGGGAATGGTGTTTTTTTGTGAATGGTAACCTGAGCTATACAGTTGAATCCATTCTGTTGTTACTGACTACTGAAGATCACTGTCTGTCTTGAGCAGAGCTGTGGGAACTTTTATTTTTATTTTTATTTATGGCTTTCTGGCAGCTTTTTGTGCTACTCTTTACTTGTGTCCAAAATTAGTATTGCATATTGCAGAGATGCTCTGAAACTTAGATGCCATGTTTGCACAAAACTTGAATTTCTCTCTAGTAAGAGGTTCTCAAAATGCAAAATATCTCAGCCGTACATTATGTTAGTTGTAATACAACCTGTTTTCTTTCTACTTTGTTCTTACTATTGCAGCTTTAATTGTTTCCTTTTTGAATAAGATAGGTCCTTCCAACTGGACTAATTCTTCAAGCATCGTGTAGGCCAACTGCTTGAGCACTTAGGGCTAACCAAAAGTTAAAGCGTATTACTGAGGGCATAGTCCACATGGCTCTTGATCACTGACAGGCACAGGGCATCAACCATGTTGATAAGAAGCCTGTGTCAGTGTTTAACCACCTTCACAGTAAAGAAGTTTTTCCCAGTGTGTAATCTGAACCTCAGTGCAGCTTTGTGCTGTTCCTGCATGTCCTTTTCTGCTTATTTTTTTTCTGTCAAGTTCAAATGCTGCGTGATGTATCTTATGCCATCTTTTGCATGCCTACTGGGTCGGTGTGAAGCAGCTGAAGTATTTGTTTTTGTCCCAGTGGCATTTAGTACCAGATGTAAAAAGTTCAGTCTTGTCTTGCTTTCCAATACTTGTGCTAACTGGAATTGAACCAGTAAAAAAAGTCTTTTATTCAGATCATTTTAAGTATAGACTCAATAGAACTATATTAATAGCTGGGTTGTTCCAGTTTTAAGCTGTGGGTAATTTTTCTCTAGATAAGTAAAATTCTCAAGTCGTTCTTAATATTTGTAGAATGATATAGATGCAAGCAAACCCGCTCCAGTACAGAATGCATCTAAGCAGGATGGACCGATGCCAAAACCACATAGTGTTTCACTTAACGATACTGAAACAAGGAAGCTAGTGGAGGAGTGCAAACGACTTCAAGCAGAGGTTATGAAGCTGTCGGAAGAAAATCGGCACCTGAGAGTAAGTTTTGCTTCCATGTTTGCGTTGAAGTGGCTTCGCTCTTCTCGAGTGAAAAGTCTGGCTTGTGATTAGGCTTAGAAATGCGTGTTTCAGAAAGTAGCTGCAGTTGTTGGGATGTCAAGATTGATTCGCAATGTAATTTTACTGTCCTGTTCACTGTGTATTTTATACTTCTCAGTTGTTGGGTCTTTGGGATTGTCATGGATGAGATACGGAAGCTACACCATTTTCTTCAAAGAAATGCAGTAAATATAGGCTCATTGAAGGTGGTTTTAGTTACTTTCTGTATCTCTTAATTTAGATTTAATAATGAATTTTAAATAAAAGCATATTATTATTCATTCTTAAGAATGAGTAAACGAGATCCAAAATGGTAACTCTGTTGCACATTGTTAGTGAACAAGGACAATTGGTTGGCCAGAGGAGGTAAGCAAACAACACTTTGTAGTACCTTTATGGAAAGGTACCCTTTCAATAATCTGTAACTAATTGATAAGTGGTTCTTACATGACTGTTCTGTCTGTTTGCTTTTGGGTATCTAAAAAATTCATTGGCAGCAGTAGCCTTTTAAAGAACTCATAAATAATGATGTTTCTACACCTGTAACTGCTGATATGGGACTATTTGGAAACATAAGACAAACAGAAGATGATTCTCCTTAACAATAAGGAATTACTGCTGTTTAATTCTTACATAGTAAGCAAAAGATGGATACTTCAGAGTCCGTCTTTTCAAAATCTTAAGCAAAGCACTGGATTGCCTATCCTTATTCAAAATGTTCTGGTTTGCTGTGTTCAGATCCTGGCTTTTGGTATGATATAATATTATTTTTCAAATTATTTTCTTTATTGAAATGTTCACCAGTAGATTTGGCTTTTGAGTTAGGTTTTATGTAATTGTAAAGAAGATGTCTTCATAATTTTCTTCCATCTGTGTTTTTGTTTTTCTCCCCCCTTCAGGATGAAGGCTTGAGGCTCAGAAAGGTAGCACACTCGGATAAATCTGGATCACCCACAGCTTTGGCTCTCAGAGATAATGGCTCTAATTCTCTTCCATCACTTCTTGTTGTAATTGCAGCCATCTTCATTGGATTCTTTCTAGGGAAATTCATCTTGTAGAAAGAATGAGTGAGAGAAGCATGCATGCAAAATGCAGCTTCTTTTTTTTTTTTTTTCTTGGCCAGAAAAAAAAGATTTGTTTACCTACCACTTCATTGGTAGTATGGCCCAAGTGACCATTTTTGTGTACAGCATCATAACAGGCTTTGCCTTTAATGATCTCGCACGGTTAGAAAACACAATCTAAAAAGACAAACTGTTCGGCTACTGGACAAAATTGTACATTAAGTCATCAATAGCAAGTGTCAGTTGCACAGTCAGTCCTTTATGAAAATTCATAAATAAAGAATTGTTCTTTCTTTCTGTGGTTTTAATAAGAGTTCAAAAATTGTTCAGAGTCTTGTAAATGTTATTTTAATAATCCTTAAAAATTTTATCTGTTGCTGTTACCTCTTGAAAAAATGATTTATTAGATTGCTAATCCCACTCATTCAGGAATATGACAAGAGGTATTCTGGGGGAAATGGTGCCTCTTACTGTGTAAATTTTCTCCTTACATTACTTTGCTAATACCATGGCAGAATTTCTTTCTTATCCCTCATGAGGCATTGTTGAGAGTTCTTCATCCTTACAATCCTGTCCCATAATATTTAACATTACAAAAGAAATAAAATTGTTAACAGATTTTCTGCTGGGTAGCCTGTTTGTGTGTGTCGTACTTTTAGAAGGGATTCCTAACAAGTTCATTGTTCATGGCAATTTGCTGCTTGTAACAAATGGCTATTTTGAAGTTTATTTGCATAAGTCTCTGGCTTAGACTGTTGTTATTGAAGCTTGGAGGAAGAAAAAAAAAAAAGGGGGGGTTCCATTCTGTTTGTTTAAAAAAAAAAATGAACTGTTTTCTGGCTGCTTTCAGCTATAGAGGGGATAATTGTCAAACTCGTTTTGGGACAGAATAATTTGGATATCCAGCAGGTACAAATACCAGACTTGAATGTTTTCGATATATTAAGAATTAGCTTGCATTGTGCGGAAGTGTAATAATCAACCTTTTGTTCCATCTTTGGATCTTTTGGGTGTCTTCCAAGAGTCAACATTTTTCTCCTTTGATTTCCATAAAGGTACTTAATTCACATATACCAAATTATGTTTTGTAGTTCCATTTTAGCCGATGCTCAAAAACGCGATTTGGATGATTGAGACACCCATAATGAATTCCATGATGCGGAAGAGTTGATATTTGCTGAGTGAGTCTTAGTTGCTCACGTGTTGAAAATGAAAGTCATTTTTATGCAGCTCTTGGCAGACCTACCTGTGTTAACCATATATATAGCTAAGTTTCAATGAATGCGTTTTTGGGGGTCTAAAATGCTTCCCTGCACTTAATCTCATGTCTTGCCTCATCTCTGAATATCATAAAAACAAACAGTAGTAATGGAACAAAATATTATCTGTACTTTTGACTAAGCTTAATCCAATACAGGGAATTACTTGTAAACTGAAAAATTATGGAAGGGATATACTCCTGTAAGTGAAATTGTGTATGCTTTTGGACAGCTTGACTTGATGTGGTGCAGCTAAGTATGTTAGACCTTGGTATATGCACACGTTGTGTAGATGAGAAAAATGTTCTAGAGAAGATGTACATTATCTTGGTTGCCTTTGATTTCTAGTGATTTTTTTTTAAAGAAAACTATAATTACATCATGTTCTGTTATTGTTCTCTGTGATAAACTTTTTATAAAATTTTGCATATGTGCAAGGAAGATGAAGAAAATACAAAAAAACTGCTTATTTTCACTTAAGCATGCGAGCACAGGTGTTTCCAATTACTTGTTCCAGTGTCTGCATTCAAGTTGCCTTCCATCCCAGTGACTGGAAACGTTCTGTTAAGGTCTTGATTATTTTGGTTCCGCTGGTTCAGAATGGTGTAATTCTCCCAATTTTTTCTCGAACAGAACATTAACGCATCAAACTTCCATAGCCTGTTCCAAAGTGATTATGTGGAAAATAATGAAGGCAATAAGTGTGCAGGATGTAGTTTGCTTGAGACAGAGCAGTTAATCCTGCACTGAAGGAAAAAAAAAAATATCCCCTGGAAGATCTTAAAATGTTTACAGCATATTGTACAGAGGTTTTCAAGGGTAGCTAGCACTTTCAGGACTTGAAGATAGAAAAAGGAGTCATTGCTCAATGTGGCTGACTCAGGTTTTGATGTCTGGCCGCAGTGAAAAGGAAAAAAACTAGATAAAATTGGATTGAAATAAATTCTCTCCATAAATACTGAACAGGTGGTTGTAAAAATTGGTCGTGGTTTGAGTGATGTCTTCAAAGTGAAAGTGTGCAGCAGTCTCGTAACCAGTGTGCTTACTAATGGTATAAGGAGACTGTCTTGGTTTCCAGTAATCCCTTCATAGCTGTATATAAAATGTAATGCTACAACTTTTTTGCTCTCAGGAGTCACTTTGGATGAGATCAACTGTATTCAGTGAATTATGTAATATGGATTAAATTGTTTGTCTTTGTTCCTGAAATGGTTAGAACTTCTTGCTTTGTCTGCCTGCTTACTCGTGTATGTAAGCATGGGGAAATACAGCCTCCGCTGCTCCTAGTGATAAGATCAGATGGCAATGCCCATGAAGTCATGTGAGGCTACATGTGTAACTTCAGTTAAATATGCATCACAAGTCCCATTTTGATTTCTCAAAAGGACAAGATGGAACAAGTATACAGTATCAAAGCGTTACTTTAAAAGTTTGTCTGAATATATCACTTTACAAAAGGGTAGTGTGATGGTTCAGGTGAAAAAAAAAAGCCTTGTTAAATAGAAAATATAGCTTCTGTAGTAATTCTGGACACCAAATTTAACCCACATTTTAAAATCCATATATGTATATGAAGTTCATTTAAAAAAGTTATTTGCATCAACGCACAATTTATTTGTGCCGTTCTACTCATTCTTGAAAAGCTGTTGACAAACTGTTGTCCAGGCTTGCATGTCTCTGCTGCTATGATTGAAACCGACTTATATATGAGAAGCAACCAAACACTAGCTTGAAAGTTCATTATCCTCTCGGGAGGAGAAGGGGTGGAGGGAGGAGGTGGAAGATGACATCTTGCCAAAGGGGGAAAAGACAAAGTCAATAAGTAAAGCTTATTTTTCAGGCCTTCCTCAAAGATATTAAAAGCTGAAGTGTTAATAAACCATTGAAAATGTAGTAGTGTCATTTTTTTTTTTTTAATTTTGAAACTTCTCCCTAATATTTATGTTCTGTAGACTTTAGGATGCTGAATAGGTGTATCTAGGTCGGTGAAGGTGCTGTAACTGCCCTGCTGCTTGGTACTGCTAGTAAGTAGCAGGGAGCTGGCTTGGATGAAGATTTGCTGCTGGAGAGAAGAGCAGGTGCTTGAATCCACCCAGCACTGGGGATGCTGATGACCTGCCACATTTACAATAATCATGTCAAAGAGTTTTTCTTTTCCAGTCTGGAGTCCCAAACATTTATGGTTGAACAGACTTTCCAGGGCAAACTCTGGCAAAAGATGGAATGAGACCCCTGTGTTACAGAGCAGCCCTAATAAACACTAATATTAAAATGTCCTGCTCTTTGTGTTTACAGGTGGGATAAAATTCTGCACTTTGCCTTTTTAGCCATGTTTCTGTGAATGTTGTACTTCACTGCTTTGCTTTCTGCGCTGGTTCCTGGTGAGTGCCTTTATGGGGCCGTGTGCTGGAAGCTCCTTGGGTAGCACAGATGGCTGCTGCCCCAGAGACTGGCAGCGTTACTTTGGTGGCATGCTTAAATGTTGGCCGAGATGGGGTGTTCAGTACAGAAGTCTGTCTTTTCAAGGGATTGGGCTCCTGTTGGAAGGGTTGAAACTAATGACAAACGAGACTGATCTCTTTCTTTCCTGTCTGAACTTCTTTTCCAGGGCTCTCAAGTAGAGTAACCAAGCATATCACTGGAGTTGGTCTGCTGTGTTTTTGGTCTCGGGTGCAGGGTGTGGGTGCTTAAGTAAATTTGCTAAGAGATTTGCATAGGCAGCGATAGTGTTGTCGTTTTAAATTTTTTTTTTGCCTTTAAATGACAAATGGCGAAGTAGAAATGAGGTCTTGTACAAAAGCTACACGATTTTTGTCTTTTATCTACTTTCTCAGTGCTGCTAGATACAAGTACTTCTTCCTCTCTTGCTGTGATGAGGGTTTGCGTGTTTGTGCAGTGAACCAGATTTGGGAAGCGATTTGGATGAAATCAGATTTTTCATCTTGGGCAAGTTGTGTTTAATTTCAATTGTATAAGCATCTTCCACCATGTTAGAGTGCCGTTTTATCTAAAGCTTCGTACCAGTTTATGTAACGCTGATAACACTGCCATTAGGTATTGAATCCCTGTTTATACAGTAGCTACTTCTGTTGCTGGCAGCAGTGGAATGCTGTTCATCCCCTCCCTTCCCTTCAGAAAAGTTTTAAAGGGTGTTACGGTATCCAGGCGCAGTGGCATGAGACAGACAGCTATGATTATAGCTAAGAAGGCTGAGCTCAGACACTTGAAATAAATGAAAAATTAATTGAAAGGTGACAGAGTTATTAATTCTTACCTTCTAAACTTGTGTATAATAAACGTCACACTGCTTTTTTTTCTTACCCTGAATATCATCCAGGTTTTCCAAAAAGAAAAAAAAAGTCGTAGTCTTGACATAACTTTCAGGATGTTCTTTAAAACATATCTTTCTACTGATGTTCATGCAGATTTAAGTGCTTAGGTGAATTCAGAGATACTCCCTGGTGATCAGTGCCTTTCCAGTTCTCAGAGTGGTTGGTAACAGCAGTCTTCATGAGTCTCTGTCTGCCTTGTAAAGATGGCTTATCCTGGGTGTAGAGATTGGGAAACTGAGGCACAAGTGTTGGGACAAACTACTGGGAAGAGATGAATTGGGCGCAACCGCTGTTCCCTAGCATACTCTCCATCTTGGTTCTTGTAATAATTTTTTTTTCCCCTGGGTTTCCAAAATGCTGTTTTATATTGCTTAGAGGTGTTTCTCAGGCTTTTAAAGCATCTTCTCAAAGACATAGCTGTTGCCTTTCTCTTCCTGAAGCTGAGTGTTAAACAGGAAGGGAATGTGGTTGTTAGGTGTTAACCAGTGGGTTGTGTTCACCCGAATTACAGCCCAAACTCTACTAAAAGGCATTAGCCAGGAAAAAAACAATCCAAAAACCACCAAAACAAACCCTAAAACAACAAAAAAAAACAAACCACTGTCACCAGTGAAAACACCCAAATCACTTGGGCACGTGTTGTTGGCAGTATTAGAACATGGAAGCGTTTGTGTAGCACAAGTATTTGTGGAGCCAGAACTGTTTGTACTTTCCAAGGAAAAGAAAACAAACACTCCTGAACCTATACAACAACCACGGTGGTGGTGGTATGTATTGCTCTACATGCCCAGGGGAGTGGCAAAACATTTCTCCATTGCCTTGTTGATAGCCCAAACTGTGCAACCGTGGGTTTTGGAGTCAATTCCTCAGAAGGCTGGTTTAAAGAGTAGTGATGTCGATAATCTACTGATTGCCTTGATTTACAAACATGATGCTTTGTTTCTTGATGTTTGAGAGATGTTTAAATCATCATACGGGACAGTAGTTACAGAACTGTGCTTTGGAAAGGCTCAGGAGGGAAGTCCATAGAAAAGTCTTGAACCCTGGGTCAAGCTCTGGAGCTCTAATCTGAGCTGCTAGAGTGCAGCTTTGATTAAGTGAGTGGTTTGTAGAAGGTGAAGGCTCATACAGCAGCTTATGTTCCCCCCAAACATCTGCTAGAAACTCCTGTGGTGTTCTTCGGGATCAGTGATCTTCAGGGATTTCTTGCCATCCTAAGGCTGTTAAGCCTAAAGCAGCGATGAGTCCTGTAAACAGGAGAACTCCAGGAGAGAGATTCTCATTGTATTCATGCCTGGGATTCCTTCAGCTTGATGGCACTGCTTTCAGACTTCAGTTTCTTCCATAATACCTTGAAATACTTCAGCCCTATGGCCTCTTTATTTCACGTCCCAGCTTCGAGAAAATCAGAACAGATTGCTTTTTCTGATTAGGGAAAATTATCTCCTCATCCTGCCTCCACAGGAACCAGATTACAATGGCAAAGGAAGGTCAGAGCATTTGCGGAGAAACTTATTCCTTAAAGAGACGAAGTTTATGTGATTGAAGCATCTTTGGGCTGCTGCTTCCTGCGCGAACCTGAAATCTAATTCAAGATGCGTTGGATAGCTTGATGTTGCACAGATACCAGCTATCTCTGATTACAGGGCAATTAGAGCTGAGGTGAAAGACCTTGAGTTTGGTGCTCCCATCAAGGGCAAGCCTGCATGGTGAGCTGAAAAGCCAGGTGGTGCTTGTGTGCTTGCCGGGCTGTCAGCACAGGCACAGATCCTCGGCGGCTGCAGCCCAGCACTTGGGAGCAGCGTGGGTGGGAGAGGAGTGTACTGCAAGAGAGAGTGGTTGAGAGTCCACTTCTAGAGCTATGCAGGAGTTGCATTTGTGGAACAAGAGAGAATAGAAATGAAGCAGCTAATCCCAGGTAACAATTTTTCACAACACAGCTCACAGCGTACACACAGGGACCTCTCCAGCTCCTTGGCTCCTGCGATGAGTGCGGTGGCGAGCTGAGCTCTCCGGGTGCTGCGTGCATGCAGCGTGGTAGGTGAGTCCCACACGACATTGACTGTGTTAGCACGCTGTGTTAACCTGTTAGCATGGGTATTGTGGTTATTCAAAACCCTGGTCTGTGTTTGTGTACGTGTTTACATTGGTGTGCACACACCTTTCAGGGTGCCTGCCTGCTACTGTGCAAACTGGTGGTTACAGCAGTCTGGGTTGCCGTGGGACTCTGTCATTGTGCCAGCTTTATAGCTGCCTCAGTTATTGCTATGGATGCATTTTCCTCCTTTTAACAGTTTCTATTTTTTTTTGAGCTAATTTACAATTACTAGTTTTAAGGGCAGCTGGGTGGGGAAACACTTCCTTCTTGCCAAATGGGAGCTACCTCGTCCCCTTCCCAAATGCACTTTGAGACCTACAAGGAGAAACAGGAGGCTTACATGAGAGGATGAGCAAGGTGGACTTCCAACATCCAGAAGTGTTTGCTAATGGTTTTGTGGAAGGCTGAGATACCAATTGTCAATGCAAAAGCTGTTCTTACTCTCTGGGAAATTCTCCCAGTTTTGCAGTCTCCTCTATGTTCCCCTTCACGTAGCTATGCATTGGTTACAGTCATGGCTATCTCCTTGCCCTGCTTGGAATCATGGACATTAAAGCACTTGCTTTTATAATAAATTGGGTAGGCCAATAATAGTTTAAGGTTTAAAATGGAGCATCTGTTAAAATTCAGTATATTTTTTTAGCATATATAGTGTATTTGTGAGTTTATGTAGCTCTTAAAGTAGTTCTAGTGAATGTGTGATATTAGTCATTAAAAATTCTGGTAATTCCAGGAGTAATGTAGATATGAGTTGTGTATATACATGTATATGCATGAATATACACATTCATTTTACAGTTGTCTTATATACATTTTTGGATAGATGGGGATACGTTGAGGCAGTATTTGCAATTTAGTGATGGTGTTTTCCTTTTAGCATTTATTCAAAACAAAACGTGCAGAAGTGGTTGGTGCAGCTTAAAACATGCAAGCATTTCCCCGCCAACCCATATGGATTGTAGAGAAGGGTTTCCTTCACTTTATGTCATGTAGGTTCAATGAGTTTCTTGCCCTCATCGTATAGCACCAGGCACGCAGGTGGCTGCAGGGGCAAAGCTTCGTTTTGGCACTTCGTAACTCTTGAAAGTGTAACTTCCGAGATCCCACGAAGGCTGGTGCCACTCCAGTGCCAGCCTTACGTGACTGTGCTTTAAAAGTGACTGCCCTCGAGTATTTTTGACACCTTGCAATTATTTTCGTTTAACTGCTTCTCTGCCTCCTCGCCCATCAATCACGGCGTGCCGCTGGTAAGGTCTCTGCAGTGGGCGGGTCGTTTTTTTTTTTCGGGAAAATTGGCAGGAGAATGAATGCTCAGCAAGTTGCCGCCACCAGATGGCAATGTTTTCTTATCCCTAGCTACTCCTGAAAAAAGTGGAGGCTGCCTCCTTCATGATCGTCCCTAAAGCCCCTGGCACACCAGTGTCGTGTGGTGTGGTTGTTTGCAGCAGTGCCTTACAGTTAATACAGATAATGTCTTTGTTGTCTTCATCATCTCCAGGTTCTTCCGTCTTTAGGGTGCTAAGAGAAACGTGAGCTGGTAGTTGGACATTTAATTAAGGAAATCCATCAGGTGTCTGTCTGTCTAGGCAGCTTCTGTCTCCTGACCAGAAGATGGCCTGAGCCCGTGCTTTTTCTGTGGATGGAGTTGCAGAGTTAGCAGCACAGTTAGACCAGATCTCAATCCTAACAACTCCAAGTGCAACCTCTTTCTTCACGTGAAGGCAGTACTACCTTGGGCAGTTCTGTTTCTCATTTTCCAATGGACTGTCTTGGAAAGGACTGATGCCTTTCCCTTGGGAAAGGGCTGGTAGGAGCAGTGTCTGCCTGCTCTGAGGCGGTGAGCACAGGCAGTTCCCGTCGCTGGTAGAGCAAATTAATTCATTATTGGCTTGGCTTGGTACCTCCATAGCTGGAGTCCATCTCAGGGACTGGTCTGGAGCAGACTTGCAAAGACCAAAGGCTGGGGAGAAGGAGTTTGGATAATTGTTTAGTCCAACAGCACTGCTGCTTTAGCTGTTGAAGGCACTTGTGGTTTGATTCCTCACAACCATATTTATTTCTGAGTAGAGATTTTTTAAATTTCCTTACTATTATTTATTGGTGGCAGGAAATAATAATTAGAAAAATCAACACTGATAGTGCTAGAGAGAAGATTAGCATGAAAAACATCTTGGAAAATCCTTCTAAGAGGAATAAAAAGGAAAATTAAACAATAAAATTCAGAGTTAGTGGTGCTGGTTTTTATTACCTAGCCTTCCTTTTTGTGTCAGGAGGGGTAAAGTATGCCACGTGGAATATACTTATGCCTGAATTCATCCATGCCCACAGCTTTGTGTGGAAAGGGTGGCCACTTCTTTCAGACTGTGGCTACTGCATTTGGAGCGCCTTGTAATTTAGGGCATGCTTCCTGAAAATCAAGCTCATCCTGCAGAGATCTGCTGTCACGTTTCCAAAAATCCTGAGTCACTTCTGAAAACTCAGAAATCGATCTAATGCAAAGCTTTTGAAGCTGGTGGTGGAAGTCTCATTGACTTCATTTCGCCTCTTCTCTTTGTGCGAGCGAGGGAGTAATGAAACTGCACAGCATTGAAGAAAGATGCTTTTGTTACCCTGTGGCTTGCTTTGCATTCTCAGTTCATTTTGGGTTTCTGTAAGAAAAGCGTCCTTTCTACTCCCTGCTCCCTCCCCCAGGCTGTACCCTTAGAGCAAGTGAGATGCAATAGCAGAATAGCAATGCCGTTTCATCTGATTGCAGTTCATTTATGAAAAAATATTTTCTTTCTGTGGAAACCACACCCTTTGTACTGACACGCAGCTGCTCCGACCGTGCTAACCTTGCAAGCCAACCCCAGCATTGCTTGTGGTGTGCTTCCAGCCTGCATTGCGGCTCGTTTTCTTCAGGGAACCTAAAGATGTGCTGCGAAGCCCAAATCACCCCTGCTGCATTCAGCAGAGCTTTTTCTAGTGTTGTGTTCCCAAGTAAATGATATTTTCTTACAGGTGGTAAGAAATGAACTTTTCTGTGAACAAGTCACTCAACAGGGATTTTGGTTATCACTTCGAGACGTGCATCACTCTATACAGGTGGTGAGTCAACAGGAAACTAATGTGTAGGGTGCAAAGAAATTTTTTCTTTTTCTTTTTAGTTATTTTTTTTATTTCAATCAATAGTTCAACAAGTGCTTAAACTTCCCCGGCAGTTTAATCTGGAACATCTAGTTGAGAAGAAAAATATCTTCAATAGCTTTACAAAAATAAAGAGATTTTCTTTTCTTTCTTTTTAAAACCTGCACTTTAAGCAAGCACACTCCAACTCAAGCAAGACAGACACTGCATCTTAAAACATGGACCTCTGGTCTTACAAATGACATTCTACCCCAAGGCAGCAGGCACAGTACGTAAACGGTATAGAAACAGAGCAGGAACAACTGTTACAGCTTTCTGATTCTTTTTTTTTTTTTTTTTTTTTTTTTTTTTTTTTTTTATCTTTTTTGACAGCATGTATTAAAAAGCAAAGTTGCCCAAGAGATTCTTCAGATTACCATTTCTTCTGGCAGGTGGCTCCTCCACCAGAATATTACAGGGGTGACAAGTGGAAACCTTTCACCTCTTCTGGCAACCCTGGCAGTTACTGAAGATGCCCAAATTAATTGTTTCCCTCATTAATGCTTCTGAGCTTCGGTATGGCACAAACAGCTCAGCTTGTAGGTCTTCCACTGCTAAGCCACGTGCGGCTCAGCTCCTTTAGCAGTCAGGGCTGCCAGCACATGAGGTCAGGCAGGAGAAACAAAATGAATGGAGTATATTGTCACAGATGTGTGTGGGGCCGCGCAACAGTAAATTTAGCGCCTGATGAGATGAGGAGATCAAGGGAGCCCAGCTCCTAGTCCTGGGCCTGTAAGGTAGGAGAACCCTTGCAGGGCACGTGGGTTGACAAATAACACACACACTCTGAAGGCTGACTTATCTGTGTCCAACTTGGCTTCTGTTGGCTGATAGGAAAATAAAGGAAAAATATGTAGGCACAGGGAGGGAAGCTGGTGCTGCAGCGTGTGCTAAAAACCCAGATCATAAAATCATAAAATTATGTTTCAAGTCAACAATACAAATAAACCAGAAGAACCATAATATACCAGAGCCAAAATAAACCAGAAGCAGATTTTTTTTTTTTTTTTTGGGGGGGGGGGGGGGGGGGGGGGTAATGCATCACAAAGGTCTCTTTCTAGCATTTCCTTGATAACCATCTCTGGGTGATAGGGGGAAAAAAAGGCACTTCTCGTTTGGTTTGTATGTTGTGTCACATTTGCGTTTAGTGTAGCCCTATGTCTTGGCAAAGCTAGGTTGGTGCAAGTCAGTGATTCACAATAAGGATTTAACTGGAGGTTTAGGTTTGGATGTGCTTTTTAGAGGTAAGAACTGGACAGGTCTTTCTCTTGAAACTGTTGTAATACTTCTGACGTTAAGCAGTTTACGGAGGAGCCACAACACAGTCATAAATTGCGGCTCCTTGCCCTGGTGAGTGTGGAGCATCGTGCTGCGGAGTGGCTCTTGCTGTTGGGTTCAATCCTGCGTATCAAGGATGGGCAGATTTCAGCTGGGACTCATGTTTGTGTGGGCCTTGCGTAGGGAGGGGTGTGAGGGTCTAACAGCTCCCAGCCATCTGTATTTTTCCGGAGATGAGATCGCCTAATGTGGTGAAAGAAGCTTGTCTTCTGTGGTGTAAGGGACATCACACCATACACATCCTTATAAATAGAAACTAACACGGGCTCACTCATGCACCTATGTCTTAAACAGAAGTTGGGGACTAAGCTACTATTTGAAGGAACTTGTCTGAAATCCTGTAATACCTCAACAACTCATTTGGAAACATGCTGGTGTACATTTGCTGAATAGAAAACTTGAGGTCTAGCTGGAGAAAACCAAACTCCTATCTGGTTTTGAGGTTCTCTTTCAGAGACTTCACATCCCTTTCTGGACCTTCTGGTTAAAGCTGTGCTCCTGATGCCTCTATGCTAACGACCATCCAGAACTTTTCAAGGTTTGATGGTGTGGAGCAGTAAACTATTAAGAAATGCTGAGCAGAGCAGCTGCTGTTCTCAGGGCTCGGTTTATCACGGTGAGCTGGCTTTCAGCTCCTCCCAGCGAGCTGAAGGAGGATCTGGTACCAGGTGAATGGCTGAGTGCTTTCTCTGCTGGCTACTGAGTCACCCTGAGCTCTGTTCCTGCCTCTTGAGCTATTTATGGGTTTTCTGTGACATTTCATGTCTGGGGAAAAATGTGAAAGGTGTGATGTGGTAATGAGAGCCTGTGGTTGTTTCTTCTCCATCTTCCTCTGGCTGTCTCAAAAACAGGTGAACTGATTTCTTTATCACTCAGGGAATTCACGTCAAAGGCTGAAACCAGCTTGGAGCAAGCTGTCAAGAAGGCACAAACGTTGAGGAGGTAGGGAGCCTGAGTACAGCCATTTGCTACTTGGATGGCTTTTTCCTGCTTGCTTTGCTAGGAAGGTCCACGCTATCGCTGTTATTTCAAAGCATTCTTTTGCTGTAGCACACGGTATGGATGCTCACCTGTGCTGATGAAACACAGTGACCTTACTCCTTGTGTTGCTCTCACAGGTTCCCCACGTGAGCCAGAGCACGTGTGTATATCAGTAAAGGCCTCAAGGCTGAGCTGCGCCCTCAGCTTCCTCCCCATTAGAACTGGGGATCATGGTTCATCCATGAGCTGTACCTCCTTGCTGGCCTTAAATATCTCCCCCACCCTCTCTGCTTCCATCCATGTCAGTGTGTGTACACAATAAGGTATTTGCCAGAGGGAGAAAATCCGAAGGTTTCCAGAGCAGGTGTTGTTGAGGGAAGCTCTCTGAGGGCTCTGCCTCTCCCACTTTCCCAGCAGTGTCTCCCCATACCAGTGTGGGTGCAAGCTCAGTGAAACCACGCTGTGCGTTGGGATCCTCCAGCAAGGAGAAAAGGGAGGAGGCGGCAGTGTTACAACATCCAAGCTACAACTACTGCACGTGGAGTACACGAGGCCTCATGAACACGGGAACAGAACAAGTCATTTCAGGCTTCCATCAGCAACTCACCTGGGCTTTGTGTATCTGACAGAAATAAAAATGCTTTTTCTGTCTGGCTTTAGGGGGCTGTGATTGTAACTATTTACTTGATTCAGAGGGAGGTCCTGAAGCAATTACATAGCTAACGAAATCAATGAGAAAATGTTAAGCCACTGGTTATTTTTACAACTTAATAGTTGTAAAAGGAAGTTGTAAAATACTTGTAAAAAAAAAAAATAGTTGTAAAAGGAATTACAACTTAGTAGTTGTAAAAATAGTTTAAATTATTTGGAATATTTTTTTTTTACTTGAAGATATCAACCATTTACCACTGCCTCAATGGAGGGCTGTTGATTTGCTGTTTCTGTTGAGCTGTGAGATAAGGGCTAGATAAATCCTTGTAGGTTTTCTTCTTATATACATATCTACACCCGAGTCCTGAAGTCAGAGGGGGAAGCCACTGTCACAGTATTAACACTACACCGAGTTGTTCCCCAGACTTAAATTCTGATGAGAAACTGAGCGTTGGGCTGAGAAAGTACCACAATGGTAAAACGGCAGAGACAACTGAAGCAGGATTGTAATGTTCACCCCAGCAGTTTAAAAAAAAATAATAATAAAAAGGAGACCCTATCCCTCCCCCCCCAGAAGTCTGCAGTCCTAAAGTGCAATTACTTTTGTGCAGTCATGTCAGGCCAGGGATCAGACTGGATGAAGTTCAAAGCACAAGAAACATCAAACGAGTGCTGTTTGTGATTCGAGGAGGGGGGGAAATAAGGAAAAGAACAACAGTTCTCAGGCATTCAAGTGCATCAAGAAAATAAACGTCCCTTTCTTTCTGAAGAAAAACAACCCTCAGTCTTGTGGAATCCTGGCTTTGTAGTCATGAAAAATAGTTCTTTTTTTTTTTTTTTCACTTCTAGCTGAGAATGTCCCAATATGTCACAGTACAAATAAACAACACCAAAGCAAGAGCTGGGGCGCTGGGATGTTTTGCCAGTGCCCTGCTGCTATACAGACGTATTTTATTTTCCTCTGGTGACTCCTCAGATCTGGGCACGGACGAAGCGCACTGAATTAAAGGCATCTGGTAGGACGTGGCTCTCTTTTCTGGTCGGTCGGGGCTGGACCCGTCGCTGGGCCTCTGGCCATTGTAGAGCAAGTACCTGCCCCTGGCGTCCTGTTCCATCTTGAAGATTTCGTACTCGGTGTGCGGCAGGCGGATGCCGAGCGCGATGCAGCCGTTGGTGTGGGTGACGTCTTGCTGGACCCCGACTTGCCAGGAGCCCTGTGCCCCGCACTCGTTCCCATTGAAGACGTTGAGCAGAGAGGCTGTGGATACGTCCATGGGCGTCACCTTCATGTGGTTTACTGTGAACGAGGAAGAGAGGGGGTATTAGCAGAGGGGCAAAGGCAACGTGCTGCTTGGGGTGTACCCAAGAAATCATCACTGAAATAGGGGTTCACCCTTCGATCTGCCCATACGGGGCAGCACCATGTCCTTTGCAGGCAGGACCATAGCATTTGATGAAAAATGCACAGTAAAATCAGTGAGGGAAGAAAATTGGAAAATGCTTTTGAAACTCTTTTACTTCTGTATGTTATCTCTGCTGCTAGCAATGTCACAAAGGTTCAAGTGAGGCATGTTGCCAAATGGGTTTAGCGGCTATGGGGACAAGGTTATTTTAAATACGTCTCTTGTGTAGGTGCTGGTGCTTCCTGAATTTGCTTAAGGATGTCTTTTAATCTAACCAATGGGAATTACAGCAGCTCTGAATCACTTTGTTCTTTCTTAAATCATTTTTTTTATACTGTAGGTGTGGCCAGGAAATCTATTTGCATCATTTTACACTTTTGATATAACTGCTTTGTGTACTGAACACACACACACACACACATGTTCAGTTGAAGAAAACCTGATGGCCGCATATCTCAGTCAGAGATTGAGCAGAACTTTACAGAAATTCCAGGCAATCCTTTCCAGATAAAGCCTGGTTGAGATACATAAAAGAGGAAACAATAAAACTCTGCTCATATTTTATTAACATCCATATTTATCCATAAGTAGGGCTATTTAGAACCTATTTTTATCATTTTAAAACGTATGCTGCCTCGTAAAGCTAGTGAAATAATAATTTCCAATTGTAAAATTTGTAAAATACTACAATCTTTATATATTGCCTGTAGTATTTTGTATGAAGTATTTCTGAACTAGAGAGACTTCTTGTTATCTAAACAGTGACTGCAGCTTGCAGTATCAAACACAAAAAATGTTGCAGCTTCTTCACTTCAAAGTTACCTCTATACCTTTCGTAGGTATGCTACCTTTCATAGGGGTTCAGAGCATGTAGAGTTTTATTTTTCAGATGAGTTTAAAAAGTTGAGAAAAGCCAAATTGAAAGAGCCTGTGGAAGCTGAATAGAGATTGTTCTTGGTGCGCTTTTGGTACTGTATATCAAGAAAAGGGTTTCAGAATAGATTGGTGCTGACCAAAACACAAGTAAATTACAAACCCTCATGCCTCCCAACACACCAAACTCACAAATTCTTGTACAGGATGTTAATAATGTATGTGTCTTTTTATACTTAGATTTTTATACTTCATACTCAAATTTTTATTCTGAAGTTTTACAAGCAGATATTTGACTCAAAGGCTCAACAGTGACCTTTCTCTGTGAGGTAAATTGGCATGTTATCAAACAGAAATTCAAGCAAAAATTGGATTTTATCCTAGGAGCTAAGCTGGAACATGCTGCATACAGCTAGAAAGAACAAGAGCTCTGACAGGCAGGGATATCTCCTGCCTCCTAAGAAAATCCTAGATTAGTAAAACATTTCTCATAGTTAGATATTTTCCTAAATTGGAGACGTACAAGAAGCTATATGCTTTTCATATATGATCTGAAATTAGGAGGGTAAGAGCCTACAGTACGCTCGGGGTTTCCACAGGCTCCGCTGGGGCTGGCGCCGTGGAGGGACGTCGTGTTTTGGAGATGTTTGTTTGTGCAAGTGGTTAAAACCACCGAGCTCTTTCTAAGCAGGCTGCTGTGGGGCTGTTTGTATGAAAAGGCTTTTCAGCCACGGGGACCTGGGTAGCGTCACCACTGAGCACTGCTTCCTGGAGTACTCGAGGGGGCTGTTAGATACATCCAGTATTCACTGCGGTGGGATTAATCAGAGCTGTCTTCAGGGACATCGCTACTTGCTCTAGGCCCCCTTGGAAGCTGATGAAAAGACACATGCTACTGTATCCGTCTTTGCCAAAAAATGATTTATACCACTTATGACCTGAAATGCCTTCTGAAGTCACTTTTTTTTTTTTTTTTCCCTCTATGCCGGAGGAGCCTTAGGATATGGATCTAATCTTGGGCACTTTGCTTAGATGTTTGACGTCTGGCCACTAGGCTCCAAGACTTAGCGATGCGAAGACTTATTTTCTTGTGTTGTACTGAAGATCTCTCTATTTTGCCTCAAATGAGCATTGCTTCAGTGGTGTAAAACATCATGCATTGCCTGGGCAATCACAGAAGGCCTAAAACTGTCCAAGAAAGGAGTAAATCCTGCAAATGACAAAATGAACTCATTAGCAATCAAACCACCTTGAGCAACCCTACCTTTGAACACAAACTCCGTTCCGCCCATCACTTTGGACGAGTGCACTCCTCGGCTGTAGCGTCCCTTGGCGTAGATGGTGAAGGTGGGGTGTTTGCAGATGGGGTCGGAGTAGTGGTAGTAGTGGCCTTCCCAGGTGTTGTTGTTGTCGTGGAAGATGAAGTGCCGCGTGAGGAAGAGCACCTCCGGCCGCACCTCGCAGCGCTGGCTCACCCACTCGCCGTGCAGCCCGATGGTCAGGTCCGCCTTGGGGGGCAGGATGGGAGGGTGGTGCTCGTCCGAGCGGTAGATGATCCTGCACGCGATGCATGTGCGGTCGTGGTTCTGCAAGGAGGCAAAGAGAAACCCTCGTTTCTTTGGGCAGTGGCCTGGGAGAACAGCAACCTGCTATTTTACACCTTTTCAGCTTTCCTGAGCCTTAACACAAGATCGTGAAGTGTACCCTTTGTGTATCTAGAGGAGTCTTAACTGTAGCCTCTGCTAATTTTCTTCTCTGCGTCAGGCACACAGCTCTGCTGACAGCACCATGGATATGGGGATGTAAGTGAGCTTGCACAGAGCCCGAGGTGCTCCAGGCAGCAGACGTGGCCTACTGTCATTGAACACGATGAAAGCTTTATGGCTCTTTCCACCAGGAATGAGGTCTGTGGTGTCGGTCAGGCCCGATGAAGGCCCACAGCAGAACCACTTTGTTGAGCACCAAACCTCTGGGATCCACATGGCCCAGCTTCCAGCCACATCACTGAGGGGTGAGGCCATTTTGTGATGCATGGATGGGGCTCTCAGAGGTGCTGCCCACCATGTGCTAATCACTTCTGCAGGAGGCAAAGACGCCATAGCCAGCCTTTGCCATCATCTGTTGAGGACACCTGATCCCTCCTGGAGACAAGGGGATGAACAGGGTGGGTTCCTTGTGTCACCTACTTTGTTCAAGCTGTGAGGAGTTTCAGAGTGCACTGAGCTAAGAGCTGAAACTCCCACACAGCCACTGGGGAGAGGGATTTATACAACATGAACGCTTTTTCTTCATGCCCCTTTCCAGTCCTCTTCTCTGTGATGTCTCTGAGCTCATCCCATTACATAAATTCTCAAATTCATCACTAATATTTTAAAGCCCACATGCGCCACTACAGAGTCAGCATTTCTCTATTTGCTATCTTCAGCTCAGGGCGCTCTTTAGGAAGCACATTTACACATTCTTCATCTGTGCCCTCAGCCTGTCTGCTATTACAACCATAGGTAGCTTCCGAGAACCAACACACACCTCAGGCAATGCATCCCTTTTACACATATTGAATAGGGTTTATATTTCCCTCCCCTCCAGATCACATTGACATCAAAAGTCAGTGAAACCAATGAGTCTGCTGCCAGCTTCACCAGGCTGTAGAGTAATGGTCTGTCTGCAAAATATCTATAAATGATATAGCCCAGGTTGACCTGAACCAGTGTTGGCCAACAGAGCTGCTCAGAGGAGGAGGTGAGACTTGCTGACCTCCAGAGGGGCTTTCCACCCAAAACCAAATGGTCTTCTGGGGACCGTGTGTCAGCACGCTACAGAAGATGTCATTCTTTCCCATTGCGGAGCTTGTTAACTAATTTTAAAATTCATTTTCCAGCATCTGCAAGCAAGTACAAGGGCCATTGGTATGTTAATGAAAATACAAAGTATTTTTAATTGAGTAAATAAACTGAGACTGGTGAAGTTAGCAGATTTGTGCCGTTGTAACTAACAGCAGAGACTGGTGCAAAATATGTAGTTCCCCTGAACACCGAAAGCACAGATAACGCACAAGGACTGTAAAAATGGGGTGTTTTCTGAGACCGCAAGTTTCAGTTTGGACTTTCTTATGGTCAAGAGAGAAGTCAAGATCCGGCCTGTCTTTCTATTTTGCTACAAGCTTCTTGTGTGACCTTCCCATGGACTTAATCTCAGTTCACAGAAACAGACAATTACAGCTTTTCTGTTTGACGCAGAACTGGTAGGAGGTTAAATAAAGACTGTGAGCTGTCGGAAAGCAGACAGAAATGTAAGGGGCCTGTATATGATAGATTGATATATAAATATATTTGCACGTAGCTCTATTCATTGAGCAAACTTTCATGCACAATCTGACATTCCTCTTGTCTACAATAAATGCTCATCATCTGCAAGCTTGTTTGGGACTAATGAAGGGGGTATGTTGAACCTCTAGTTCTCTTTAGAGGATATCAGTCTTTTTCTTTGGAAAGGGTTTGGTTTCACATAACCACAAAATCTGCTGTTGTCCTTGCATGGACGCCTTCAGTTAACCAGGCCAGGTGTCCATGAAATAAATACCTGTTTCTCCAGTATTGCTGTCCTGCCATGGGGCAGACAAGTGTTACGGCTGCCTAACACCTGGATGAAGTGGCTGTGGTGAATGGGCACTTGCTGCAATAAAAAGGGAGTAGGACAGGGAGAAGCTGGGGAAGTGATGAGGGAAGCAGGAGTATCCCTTTCAAAGCAGTGAGATACCAAAGTGGCTCAGGGATTTCATAAGGTCATACCCTGAATGCATTGCTTCTCTGAGATTAGCACTTGAATCTAAGCCTACACTTTTCACTCTGATATTATCTTTCACAGAGTTATGAACTCTTTAGTGGAAGAATATGCCACATGTAAAACCCTTCAGTACAATTTTTGTTCAAGTAATGTACACGAGAAAGATCTAGTTTTATTGTGAGTCAATTGGACTTAATTATGGAGTAATTCATGTTTAACAACTGAATGTATTTTTCACTGTTGCTTTTTCAGGTCAGCTGCTTTTGGTTCTTAATTGCACTGGCTAAGGCCTTGCAAATCACTCCCTTTCCATTTGTCTTAGGAAAGATTATTTTCTAAAAACAGACATTCAAAGAAAATACAGAACAGAGGCAGAGGACATTTGAGTCCAAACACAATTAAATACTCTCTAATAAAAAGCTAATTTGGGTAGGACATAAACTAAAAAGCCATAAAATGATCAGCGGACAGGATGCACATCTGTTTCATGTTTCAAATATTTTAGGTGTACAGTGCAGTCTTTTTAATACGGGGGTCTTGTGGAAAGGAACAGCCCCAGGGATGGCCACTGCTCGGTGTCTGCAAGATCCCTTCCCATGGAGATGAGGGGAAGGGAGCCTTGTTGCAGCTCTGCAATGCTGAATCCGTGCTGGCCCAGCTCCTCACCCTCCTGGGTGCTTCTCTGAAGCCAACTTGTGAATTAATCCATGAGGCCACAAGGGTTGAAATAAGCCTGAATCTCTGGCTGGAAACAGTTCTTGTATACTTGGGGAGAAAATAGTTTGTGATCTGAAAATTTCCATGAACTTTTTTCCTTATCCCTCCCTCCTGCTGCCTCAGCTGAAGTGGTAACAGGGCCAGACTGCTCTGGAAGCCAAGCAGAGAGGTTTCTAATAAAAAAGCAAACAAGGATGAGGTTCCTTGATCTTCTTCCCAATTGCTGTGGATAGTCGGAAACACAAATCGTCTCAGCACATTTTATTTTTGTGCTTAAGTTCTATTGGATTCTGTGGCTGCCTAGAGCTAATTCTCCTCTAATCAATTCATAGTGTTTGTTATGGCCCAGGACAAAAAATGTATCGCGCAACTGGGATGTTCTCTCAGCAATGGTAAAATGGGCTTTGAATAACACGTAGAAAGATCTTTTTGGAAGGTATTCTAGTTTTCTTTGAACAACTTTGTATTTTGATGCCGTTGTTGCCCAAGAAACCTATGGGCCAAACCCTTTCCAAAACGTATAGGAAATCTACCCTTTCCTTATGGTTAAAGCAGAAGCTGAAATCATTGCTTAATATCAAAGAGAGGATCTGCAGGATGTACTGCAAGTTGTATTTAGGGACAAAACAAACAAGCACAAGTAGTAAAGAGGAGGTTAAAAATACAGATACTTTGAAAATGCTGCGCAAAAATATTTTCTCTATCCATTTTTATATGCTGAAAATGTGTCTGTATCTCAATTAAAAAAGATAAACGGTATTTGTCTGAAGCAGAGCCAGCTGATCAGCTTTTCCCAAGTTTTCCCCCGTAGAAGACTATTTCTGATATTTTGCTATCATTGAATCGTTAAGGTTGGAAAAGACCACCAAGATCATCTGGTCCAACCATCCCCCTACCACCAATGCCACCCACTAAACCATGTCCCCAAGCACCACGTCCAATCTTTCCTTAAACACCCCCAGGGATGGTGACTACTTAAGAGTCTGAGAGATGCCATGCATTCTTAGCAGAAAAGCATTTTAGGGGCCTTCTCGGGAGTTTTCTCAGCAGCAGTTTGTTTCACATCTGCAAGGTCTTGAAACTGACATGAAATTACACATTATTTTCCCAAAGTAATTTGGGAAATCATCTCACCTTCTCTTTTTATCTGGAGCTGCTGCACATCCTTCCTATCCCATAAGCTGGTTAGGAAATTCAAGCATCAGCTCTGACTCAGAAACACAGTAAAGTGCATGCTCTTTGCAGTCAGCTCTGCTGCCTTTGGACTCCCTCCTCGCTCTCGTCTTTCCTCCCAGTAATGCCAGTATCAAACGAAAACCCAACCCTTAAACTCCTGGCAGAGCAGTTGCTTCTTTCTGTAATCTCTCTCTTGAGGCTCAGGCCTTTCAACTTTCAGTTTTTATTCAAACTCAGATATTCCATGTGGCTACTCTAAATACACCCATCCCTCCCTTTCCCAATACCATTGCCAGCTGGGTCTGTTCCCTCCTCCTGGGCTGCTGTCACCACTGCTCAGTTACAATACCCAGTGAAGTCACATATTTCACATTTTTGTAGCAATATCTTGCCTTATCAAGTCATGTACTGACATTAAAAATATTTCTACAACATTCTTCTGCTGCTACGTCTGTTTTACTTGCGCCTCTGCAGGTGTAACATGGAAAGCCTGTTTGGAAGAGCCAGGTTCTCAGCTGGTATAAACCCACCTTTGGCTAGCATTGATTTACATTGGTTGCATGGCAAGAAGTGGGTATTGTTCATGGCTGGAAGAGGAGAACAGGTTGCATCTATACTGTATTGTGCGTGGCAAGGGCTAGCAGAAGACCTGCCACCAGGGGAAGATGCTCCTAAGCAACATGAAGCAGCCCAGGCTCTGGTTATTCCCAAGTTTGTCTTGCTCTTGTGTTGGGGACTCCCCTTTTAGGGCAGATTCTGACCAAGACAGAAAGCATTGAGGAAGAGGAGAAAGAAAAGACATGCTTAGCAGTGACCTCCCACCCCCACCCCCCACCCCCACCCAAATGCTGTGTATCATGGGCTGGGCTAGATAGGCCCAGGACAAGGCCTGCATGGTCAGGGTGCCTTC